TATCGTGCTACGGTGGTGGAGTCGAGCCCGGGAAGTGATCCGTCCCGGGCCGGGATGTGACATGTTTGCTGCTTTTATATGATAGAGTAAATAGCGTTTCAATCTTAGATATATGCTAGAATAGTTGGTATGCAAATGCAACTTGACCATCAAATGATCTAATGGCAGATCCTATACAGATAAAAGATATTAGAGTATCAAATCTTTAATGGAAAAAGGATTAAAACATTACATTCAAACAAAAATTTAGAGTCATGGCTCAAAATTGTTACTATAAAATTATTCTACAACTAATTGAATTTTCCTCTAAATTGTATAGGCCTTGTTTTATATGAACTACCAAAAAATAAACCCCTTGAAACAGATAATTTTTTTTTGTTTGAAAAAAACTGAATGATAAGGCCATACCATTAAGTCTCAAAAACCATGGCGTGCTAAGGGTCACTTGGTTAATTGACTAGCTAATATAGGTTGGTTTTATGAGATTACAGGTGTATCGGGTAATACATAATTAAACGGTGGAAATACAAAATTAAACGGTGGAAATGCGGGTTGGACCCGGGCCTATGTTGGCCTTTAGGTGGCTTCTCACTGTATGGCATGCAGAATGCATATAAATGTACGCTTAATAGTAAAGATAAAATAAGTTCTAAAATACTGTAAAATAAAATAAAATTTACAGTAGGTGATTGTCAACAAAATTTACCTCCTAATTTGTGCATCTTGTCTTTGACTGGAGAGACGGTTTCCTAGATTCTTTAGCATTCTGGCACAATTGGCCCATGAGGAAGTGACAGGACAAAATGGAATTCAGTGAGACAGCTTGGTGAAGATTCCACAACAATCAGCAATTCAGCATAGGACATTGCAAATTTGGTACTGGCATGGAAGATTTCATCTGTGCATATAGCCCCAGGTACCTAGGTCCAAGACTCCAAACTTAAGCCTGTCCCATCATTACATAAACCCTATGGAATATACCACACTGCAGTATTTCAAACTAATTGTGCATTGCATGTGAAAAAGTTAAATTACGTTTTTGTATCGCATGAATATTGTCTTGAGATATCACAGTAATATTATTGTAAAAAGTACAAGGAGACTAGGAGAGTTTTATGGTCATATCATTGCATTTTTTAGAATGTGAATAAACGATAAACAATTGGCTACCTTAATATTAATAAGGAATTAGGTATTGCAGATTATCAGTGCTTTTTCTGGTAATAAAAAATTTCAGCAGTAGTTCTTAACTTTCTATAAAAAGATATGCCTTTACCAAGAAATCATCAAATTCCAATGAAAGCTTATTACATAATAGTGACGAAACCCATGCTGCATTGTATTTGTCTGTATTCTGAAAGCTGGCACAACGTCACTCAGATTAGTAGTTCTGATCTGAAATATATCCGAATATTCCACCATCATATATAATAGTTCTGCAGAAGTTAGCTGGAAACTAAATCGTCCACCAGAGAAGAAGAACATGATGCAAAAACAGGAGAAAAGTTTACTGTAGGATTTATTTTATGGGATAAATAAATATCAAAGGATATTCCATGCATATAAGGATATTAACCTCCTAATTATCTATGTGATAATTAGATGAAAATTAAGAGATATTCATACTATAATATACTTGGGATTTTCATGGGCTTTTCAGTCTTTGTATACTCTTCTCAACCACTATATAAGGAGGCTTTGGGGAAGAGAGGAAACATAAGAAACACAAGTTTTTCCATAGTTCAAATATTCTAGTTAAGTCTTTAGAGCTATCACTTTCGGCTAGGTCTTGGGAGGCAAAAACCAAGGGGCAACTTGACATACTGTAGCCAATCCGACAACCTGCGAGGTTCTAGATGTGCACGGAGGGTCAAAGCAGTTGTTCGTGTTTGTAGGAACGTGTTGAGATTCAAGCTTCCTGCATAAAAAATACACACGTCCTTTCAAATTTATTTATAATCTTTCAACATCTACTAAGCTCTAAAATATATGCGTGTGTGTAGCTTGGAATATGCGCGTGTGTGTGTGTGTGTTTAGCTTGGAAACATTCGGAAAACAAAAGTTAGACGGGAAAACAAAAGTTAGACATATAGGTTGGAATGTTCCAGGCACTAAACCCAATTCTAAGTTGAGATTGAGAATAAAGCAACCTGCTAATATCAATCATGCTCCACATTTAGATCCACTGTAAGCAAATGAACTTATGACACATTAAGTGTCCGTTTTATAACTATTTCATTTTCGAATTTTTTGTTTTCCCTATTTTTTCTACATCTCTCTCACCAACTTCTTCATCACTCCCTTCCGGTATATATTTTCTCGTATCTCAAACCAAAAAACAAAAACAAAATGATTATCAAATCGACACTAAATATCTCCACATATACGTCTCTAATTACCTGATCATGGAATAATCGGAGCTGATTCTGCAAGACTAGCATGAACATGTATCAAGAAAACAAGAGTAATAAGGTGTATCATATATACCTTTTAATCACCTGCTTATGAGTTCTTCACATTCTTCTTAACACATAATGATAAATGGAAAATGTTTTGCAAAACCCTAGGTACCAGTGTATAATTCTAAGCAAGAAGATATATTTTAGGAACCCATACACGGCCCACAAAAACTATGTTTTCCAAATAGAAGGCCCACAAAAACTATATTTTCCAGCAATAGAAGATATGTTTTCCAAATCAACCAATACACGGCCCACAAAAACTACGTTTTTTTGGAACCCATTTTACCAACGGGCCCATATTTGGTGCACCATTGGATTGAGGCCAATCAAATTGTAACAATTGCAATTCAAACATTGTTTATTTCCCAATTAATTTAATTGTAACTTGTACTTGTTTTTTATGCTAATAACTTGTACTATTATTAGGAGAACTCTTACTATCAACCTAGGTATGTAGCATGGTGATTTTATAAAATTTATCTTTCTAATTGGTCCACTTATATTTTTTGTTTCAAATCAATTCATTTATCCTGATACAATTTAACTTTTACACATGCATAACATGCGACATCTTTCAAACAATTTACTTAATGAATAAATTATCAACTATAATGGAGTAGAACTTGCATGCCTTTTATTGCACATAAAACTCGTGCTTTGTAGCATTTGCAGGGCTATAAAGTTACTTACAATCAACGTTATGCTATATTTTCTATTTTGAAGGAAAACTTAAAAAAGAGGGGGGACGATCACGTTGTACTTGGACCAATTCAATAACCATGACTCTAAAATTTTGTCCTACTCGCCTCTACACTGTAACACACTTAATATGATACTACCATAATGGGACAACGCTACTAAAATTTAACTTCTCCAATTCTATGTCCTAAAAAGGGGCAACCCCTTTGTTTCTATGTTTTTATATATTCTTCTTTCGAGTCCATCCCTTAAACCAAAACACATTTGGTCGGCTAATCAAATGAACAAATGGCATTATCTCAATGGGTAAAATGTGAATCAAAAGTCCAAAGCCATAATCTAATACTAATTTATTGTCTTGCGATTGGCTTTTACTCAAACCCACCCACATTATCTGTCGCATATTCCGCATGTATGGTTTGGAGTTCCGACTTCAAAATTGAGAGGGACGGTTGCCTGACGTGCCTAGTACGTGCATTTGGATAAATCCTTATAATTTGTGGGCTGTATACTTCAAGGCCCCATCGCTGCCGTTGCTTCAGCTTTATGTAGTGCAGTGGCAACTTACGAGCGGTTAGATTTTCCTGACCGCATGTTGCTCTTAACTTTTACCCGCCATTTCATGCATGCTCGTGGGAAACAAGACCCCCCACCCAATCAAGTTGATGAATGTTATTATTGCAACACATGTGATGATGTTAGCTTCCCTTAAGGGTGATGCTATCTACACATTCTTATTTACGTAAAAAAATTTAATGTATCAGGATTATACTTTGGTATAGCAAGTGTCATAATATAAACATTTGATTTTTTTTTTTTTCCAAGTATCTAATCTCTCCCTTTTTACCTTCTACGCATCTTTTGTTAATTGTTGTTTTTTGATACTCTCCAATTTATTCGTTCCAAGGGCTGAAAATTGAGAAGGTTGTCAGAAAGGTAAAAAAAAGTATGTGGATACACCAGCATATATGCATCATACCATTATAGTTAAAGTTAGGTGCAACGGGTTTGTTGTCACTTACTCACTATGGCTTTCTAGACCACTAATATAAATTTTAAAATAATGATAGAGAGACTAAAATTTTAAACCAAATTTATAAACTAAATGATGTGGTTGTTGATAATTAGATTATTATTTACGTGTTGATTAACATACTTATTGGTTATTTGTGATACATAATTTAAATTGTAACTTTAGTTTTCAAAATTTGGTATACCTAACATAATAACAGCCATGACATGAGTTCGAGAGTCGTGCAAAATATGAAACCATGGTCACAATACCACAGCAGAGCTAGTATAAGTTTCCCGTTTTATCCTTCTACAATTTACTATACTTTTTCAAACTAAAAACGCATCTGTAATTCAAATGTGAAAATTAAAAACGGAAACAACCATAAAATTTTGACAATTCAAAGAATTTCCAAGTTGAAAACTTAAGAAACATTGCAATAAATTGTAAACATTTAGATCACTCTTTCTGTTGCAAACTTAAACCTCAATTTTTTTCACAGCATAAATACGTAGAAATTGACAATCTGGCTGAAATATCTATCTTCATTTTGAAGGACTCAAAACTTGGATATTTTATTATGCATCGTGGAGGGTCCTTGTTAAGAACAAAGTTTAAAAACACGTCGGCACATACAACGCACCAGACGCACATACGAAACCAACACGTGTCATCTTACCCATTTTTAAAACGCAGCTGTATAATCCTCTTTCCTTTATTCGGAAGCAAAAATAATTATGTTGTATGTGCACCCAATGGTTAACCTCCACGTGGTTCCTTCAGCAGCAGAAGTTGCGACTCTATATATATGTACCCTTTGCAGTTTCCTGTAAAAGCAGTCGGATACTTCCTAGTTCTTGTTGTATAACCTCTCTCTACCCCTTGTAGTTTTCTGTCTCTTATCAAACTTGATAAGTATGGGTACAGCAACCTTCATCGACATAATCATCGCCATCCTCTTGCCACCTCTTGGTGTCTTCCTCAAGTATGAGTGTCGTGTAAGTGTTAATTTCTTTTTCGAGTCCGTACTTTATAGATGTTGTCTGTCATACAAACACGTATTACATACTAAAACTGCTTGATTGTTGATAATCTGTCATATAAACACGTATTACTTACTAACACTGCTTGAATCATCATGTCAGCGAAATTCTATAGATGTAACAGTCATACAGTACTCGTATAACATCGTTGCTCTAATTTGTATATGATCTGTGTTGATGTGTGTTTTGGAACCGAATTTGTTTAACATCGTTGCGATTTTCAGGCGGAATTTTGGATCTGTTTGGTGCTGACACTGTTTGGTTACCTCCCTGGTATTATATATGCCATCTATATCCTCACCAAGTGATCCTTTCAATTTATGTAAGCTCCAACTTCTCTATCGCTCAAATATTTCTTGTTTATTTTTTTGTTGTAAAAGGGTGATATAGTAGAAATAGGATAGAGTGCCTTGAATTGGAGCCTCAATAATAACCTCGTTAGAAATTTCAACTGGCTCTGTTTTAAATTTGAATATGAAAATGAAAGAATACGTAGAAAGAGGATAAAATGCTTTAAAATAGAGCATCGATAATAATATTGTTAAAGATTTCATGAAATAAAATATTCTAATCTTTTTAAAGGAATAAAACTGCCTGATTGGTGATTAATGACTCATTTTACTTTCTGATCCTTTTTATCTTTCTTATTGAGCAGGTGATGAAGGATGTGTTCGAAGGGCAGCTATGTCTCTTTGTTTAGGTATCAAGGGTTTGTTTTCAACCGTTTGATGGATTGTACTTATCTGGTGTAGCCAAATGGATGGTTGACACTTCATTTATGTAGTGCGTATCTACTGTCATTGTTGATTGTTTTTTACCTTTTTTTTTTTTTTTTTTTTTTTTTTTTTCCTTTCATTTTGATTTGAATAAATGCCTCATATTTGACTATTGCCAGCAAAATACAACGAGGAGCACTGGCAGCACTGGGTTATTGGGGTGGTGCGTATACATTGCCCTCGGTGTATCTCCGCTACTATTACATGTGACATCTTTCAAACAATTAACTTAATGAATAAATTATAAACTATAGTGGAGTAAAAATTACGTGATATTGATTGTGCATAGAACTCGTGCTTGTAGCATTTGCAAGGCTCTAAAGTTATTTACAATCAATGTTATGCTATATTTTCTAATTTGGAGTAGCACTTAAAAGGAGACGACCACGTTATCCTGAGGTCACAATTCTACAACCACGACTAAAATTTTGTCCTACTCGCCTCCACACTACAATACACTTAACATGATCACTGTTCTAAAAATTCCCGCCTAGCACTGTCTAGGCTCCGTCTAGGCGCTAGGTGGTTGGTCACCGTTTTGATTAATTCCTAGACGTTTGAAAATTAAGAAAGGGCCCATAAACCTACTAAGGCACCCGCCTAGACTGTTTAGGCACCTATCCAGACCCGCCTAGGCATCGACTCACTTAGGCAGAAAATAGATAACTTTCATTTTGTATTTTATTTTTTTTCAATAAATTGTAAGAGACTTGTCGAATACTTAAATGAGCACACATTATATGCTTGTTCCCCATGTTTTCATTATGTTCCAATACTTCATAATATATGTGTCGTTCTATTTTGTAGTTTATGATGAAATTATATATATTTTAAGTATAAACATACATTTATTTACATGAAATATAATGGATTTAGTTAAATCTGCCTAGTCCATCTAGACACCTGCCTAGACCCCACCTAGCCGCCTAGGTGCTAGGCCCTAACTCGCCGCCCGACTAGCGCCTAGCGTGTTTTGGAATCTTGAATATGATACTACCATATGCAAACAACGCTATTAAAATTTTAACTTCTCCAATTTCGTGTCCTAAAAAGGGGCAACCCTTTTGCTTCTACGTTTTTATATGGGTCCATCCTTTAAACCAAAAACACATTTGGCCTCTCAGCCCGGGCCCAAATTTGAAGGAACCAGACTGAAACCGGTTAAAAATGAAACAGGGCGAGCCGAGCCGGATTTTGAGATTTCTAAATTTAGAACCGGACATAGCCCTGCCTGTTCAAACGGTTCGATTCAAGCCGGTTCCACGGGTCCAAGTACAATTTATTTTTTTTTGGGTCAGCAAGCACAGATGGGAGCCATGGGATGACCTAGTTGAGGTCGTCTTCCACATCATTTGAAGGCCAACTCTCCGCCATTTGCAATCAAGAGAGAGAAAGATCTGCGAGCTCTGCCGATTTTCCACTAGGATATTCTGCGAATCGGACCGAGTGATGTCATGCTGGAACTGCGACACCAAGGTCCAAGGCGCCAATTTCTGGTGGCTCGCTAATTCCGGAACCTCTGCCACAAGTGCCAATGACCATGTCTCTTCTTGAGGTTGAAGATATTATCAAGTTATCAAGCACTTCTCTTCAACCAATGGCTCTTATGGGGAGATTAACTTTCTCTTCTCCCAACTCAAGCTAGCAAATGTGAAAGGACATCAACTCTTTCACTTTCCAACCAAAAATAGCAGATGTGGCTTCTTCGACCATTTTCAAAGAAGATGTTAAATAGGATTAAAAGTCATTCAAGTGTTCTTCAATAAATATATCATATATGATGTGGCATGTGAGTCATTTGAATTCTTACTTTCTATTTGCGTTTTTTGATAGCAAACAAAAAATAAGTCAAATATATTTTATTTAATTTTTTAATGTGTGAGTCTCATTAACAACCAATAGAATACAAACTAAAATTAATTTTGATTATTTTTTAATAGTTAATGTAAATCTAAACCCAATAAAATAATAAAATAAATATTTGACACGTCCATTAGAAGAGAAGAAGATTTAGCACTTGTATTCAATTTGCGGCATCAACTATCAAATAAAATTTGACATATTATATTTGACATATCCTCTGGAGATACTTTTAAAGAGATTATATTCACACACCCCAATTTACTTCTCTCACACCCTTTTAATTTTTTTATTTTTATTTTTTCTACATACCACTAACACTTGATAGAAAAGTATTAAAAAAATTAACAGAATGTGGGGAAAGTAATTTGGGGTGTAAATATAATCTCCCTACTTTTATACACCAAGCATCTATCTTGATGATTTTATATTATATTAATATTATAACTTTACAATCTTAGCTACACTTTTCAATGTGCAAGAGTTGTGCATTGTTCAAGGGAGGCAGATTATATGCCCTCTTGTTGTGCCATTCCCATCCCTTACTATTTTGTGTGGTCACAGTTAAGCCACATCAAACATTTTATATTAATTTTTTTTATAGAGATAATAAGACAAAAAACAATAGGAATATAAAATGTTGACATGACTTAATCGTGACCGCACAAATAGAAGAGAATGGGAAGGGCACCCAAATAGGAGGGGCAGACAATCCGCCTCCTTGTTCAGGATGGAATTAAAAGAAACAAGTTGGGACTTAGGAAACGGTCTGGGTTCCTCAAAATCTATTACCTACCTTGCCTCGGTAATTATATGGACCCGCCCCACCCCAGTCCATTTTAAGTTTTGATTTTTTGGACCCGTCCCGCACTCGGCCCGAACTGCATAAACCTGCTCAAACCTGAGGGTTTAGGACCAGTTTGCCCACCCCTAATTTGGCCATCTAATCAAACGAACAAATGGGATTTCCTCATTGGGTAAAATGTGAATCAAATGTCTAAAACCATAATCTAATACCAATCGATTGTCTTGGGATTGGGATTGCCTTTTACTCAAACTCATAAGCCATCATTATTTGTCGCATATGGGAAGACGGTCAAGTCTTCCGCATGTATGGTTCGGAGTTTCGACTTCGAAATTAAGGACGGCTGTCTCACGTGCCTAGCACGTGCATTTGGATAACTCCTTGTAATTTGTGGGCTATATACTTCAAGCCACCATTGCCGTCATTGCTTCAGCACATGTAGTGCAGTGGCAACTTACAAACAGTTAGATTTTCCTGACAACTTGTTGCTCTTAATTAACCTTTACCTGCCATTTCATGCTTATGGGAAACAAGGCCCCCCACCCAATCAAGTGGATGCATGTTATTAGAGCATCCCCAGTGAGAGACTTTATATAGGGCTGAAAAAGTGGTGGATATAGCCCATTTTAGAGTTCCGAGGAATCTTTGGACCTTTATAAAAGAATCTCTCACAATGAGGCGCTATATCTTTCGGGCTCCATATGGGGCTATATATATTTATTTATGTTTTAATTTGATTAAGCGATGATTTTTTTTTTTGTTTTTTTTTTTTTTGTGTTAGCTTTTCTTAAGTTGATTTTTGGACGTGCTATCTTAAATTTTTTTTGTGAACCCTTCAAGCTATTGTGACAAAGTTAGATTTCATCATTTATGAATTGTTCGTTGGATTAGATTCCCTTATCTTAATCTCATCTGTTGAAAAAAAACAAATCTCCACTTCGTCCTTTGAAATAATTTGATTTTCACGTATAACACAACAATTTACCTATCACCAATTGGTAAATTAGTTTCATACAATTTTTGAAAAAAAAAATATTTGAAAATTTCACCCATCAATGCCCATGAACGTTAAATCAATTTGAAATTTTAATTCTTATGGAATTTAAAACAATCATTAATTAGCCAAATTGCAAGAAAAATAAGTAAGAAAAAAGAATTCAAAAAATAATAAAAGGAGAGTATAAATGTATTTGCAAGTGGAGGGAAAGTGATAGAATTTTGCTCACATGAGTTGCTACTTTTTTGTGGGACCCACTATTTTTGGGGCTAGATGTAGCCTAATTTTATGCTACCCAAGAAAGGAAGTTGCTAGCTCTAGTGGTGGATCTAGCCCTATTTTCTAGCTCATTGGGGATGAAATTTATCGCTAAGGCTAGAAATGTGGTAGCCTCATGGAGGATAAAGCCTCCGTTGGGGATGCTCTTATTGCAACACATGTGATGATGTGAGCTTCCTATATTATAATATAGGATGATGTTATCAACACATCCCTATTTACGAGAAAATTTTAATACATCAAGATTACAATTTGATATATTAAGCGTCATAATATAAATGGTTGCATTTTATTTTTTCAAGTATCTAATCACTTTTAGTCTTGTATTGTGACACTTGATATATCGGGACATGCTCCACGGCACATTAAAAAATTTCTCATTTTTATCTCTCATACACTCTTTGTTAATCGTTGTTCTTTGATACTGTCGATTCATTCAATTTAACGTCCGAAAATTAGAAAGGGTGTAGAAAAGGTAAAAAAGAATGTGTGGATACACCATCATATATGTATCATACCATTATAAGTAAGGTTAGGTGCAACGAGTTTGCTGTCACTTACTCAATATGGCTTTCTAGGCCACTAATATAAGTTTTGAAATAATGCTAGAGAAACCAAAATTTGATCCTGTAACATTATAACAGCTATGAATTATTTTGAGAATCGCGCAAAATATCAACCGATAGTCGCAATTCCATAGCAGAGCTAGTCAAAAGTTTCCTGTTTTATCCTTTTATAAAGTACTTACTTTTTCAAACTAAAAATGCATCCGTAATTCAAATGTGAAAATTAAAAAACGAAACAAACATAAAATTACAATTCAAAGAATTTTCAAGTTGAAAAATTAAAAAGCTTTGCAATAACTTATAAACATTTAAATTATGTTTTATGTTGCAAATTTAAACTTCAATTTTTTTCGCGATATAAATACATAAAGATCGACAGTCTGGTTGAAATATTTATCCTCATTTTGGAGGACTCAATACTAAGGCTATCTTCAACCAAAGGCTGGCCATGGCTCGTCTTAGCCCTCCGGCCCTCCAAGAAATTAATATTTTAATGAACAGTGCATGATCATATTTCTTACCATCTCCAATCGAGGTCCAAATGGCTCGTTTTAGTCTTGTCACAAAAAACCATCTCCAACTGATAACCAAAGGGCTATAGTATGAAATGTAAAGAATTGAAATAAAATAAGGTAAGATAGTATGGAATGATGAAAAATTTGTGAGAAATGGTGTAAGAAAAAAATTAGAAATTAAAAAAAAAAAAAAAAAACTAATGAAAAGGACTTGAAAACTTTGAGTTTTAATGATAAAGACAAAATAAAGGTTAAAGTAAATAGTATTAGAATTGACTTTTTAGTGTAAAAATATGATTTTTCGTTAAAGTGAACAGTACCAGAAGCTTTTCGTTAGTTTCCCAAAAAAAAAAAAAAAAAAAAAATGAGCTAGCCGGCGGGTTGGCTGGCTGGCTGAAAATGGCCAGCCGGTTGGCCTTTTTTTATCCAGTAGGGCCCACGAATCTTTTGGCCTAATCTTTGATTGGAGACGATTTTCAGGATTTTTTCAGCCATCTGATCTTCTGAACCTTTTGATTGAAGATGATCTTAGATATTTTATTATGCATCGTGGAGGATCCTTGTTAAAAAAAAAAAAAAAAAAAGAAAAAAAAAAAGTGGGCTGGGCACATGGAAAAGAACAAAATAAATAAATAAAAAGGGCTTGAAAACTTTGAGTTTTAATGATAAGAACAAAATAAAAGTTAAAGTAAATAGTATCATGATTGACTTTTTAGTGTAAAAATATGATTTTTTTGTTAAAGTAAATAGTACCAAGAGCTTTTTGTTAGTTTCCAAAAAAAAAAAAAAATGAGCTAGTCGACGGGCTGGCTGGCAATGGCCAGCCGGTTGGCCTTTTTTTGTCTAGTGGGGCCCATGAACCTTTTGGCCTAATCCTTGATTTCAGATGATTTTCAGACTATTTTTAGTCCTCTGATCTTCTGAACTTTTCGATTGGAGATGGTCTTAGATATTTTATTATGCATCGTGGAGGATCCTTGTTAAGAACAAAGTTTAAAAACATGTCGGCACATACAACGCATCAGACGCGCATATGAGACCAACACGTGTCATCTTACCCATTTTTAAAACGTAGCTGTATAATCCATTTTCCTTTATTCGGAAACAAAAATAATTATATTGTAGTCGACCCAATGGTTAGCCTCCACGTGGTTCCTTCAGCAGTAGAAGTTGCAACTCTATATATACCCTTTGCAGTTTCTGTCAAAGCAATCGGATACTTCTTAGTTCTTGTTGTATAAGCTCTCTCTCTGCCCCTTGTAGTTTGCTTTCTCCTATCAAACTTGGTAAGTATGGGTAGAGCAACCTTCCTCGAGATCATCCTCGCCATCCTCTTGCCACCTCTTGGTGTCTTCCTCAAGTATGAGTGTCGTGTGAGTGTTAATTTCTCTCTCGAGTCCGTACTTTATAGATGTTGTCTGTCATTCAAACACGTACTACATACTAAAACTGCTTGATTGTTGATAATCTGTCATACACATATGTATTACGTACTAACACTGCTCGAATCATCATGTCAGCGAAATTCTATAGATGTAACAGTCATACAGTACTCATAGAACATTGTTGCCCTAATTTGTATATGGTCTGTGTTTATGTGTGTTTTGGAACCGAATTTTCATGCAGTTATTTTTTATGAGGAATTTGGATGTTTATATGTGGTGGATTGGTGATTTTCAGGCGGAATTTTGGATCTGTTTGGTGCTGACACTGTTTGGTTACCTTCCTGGTATTATATATGCCATCTATATCCTCACCAAGTGATCCTTTCAATTTATGTAAGCTCCAACTTTTCTCTATCGCTCAAATATTTTTCGTTTATTTTTTTGTTGTAAAAGTGTGATATAGTAGAAATAGGATAGAGTGCTTTGAATTGGAGCCTCGATAATATTCTTGTTAGAAATTTCAACCGGCTCTGTCTTGAATTTGTATATGAAAATGAAAGAATACGCAGAAAGAGGATAAAGTGCTTTAAAATAGAGCATCGATAATAATCTTGTTAGAGATTTCAACCAGATTTGTTTTGAATTTAAATATTTCATAAAATAAAGTTTCTTTAATCTTTTTAAAGGAATAAAACTGCCTGATTTGTGATTAAGCAAATGTGCCTTTCTAATTGGTTTATCAACCCCACTATGATTCAGTTCGACAAAGAAAAAGATGTGGGTCCACTTGAAAATGACCTGCAATAATTTTAAATATGCCATCTATTAGTAATTTGTTGTATGCTTAACAAAGAAGGATTAATGACTCGTATTACTTTTTGATCTTTTTTATTTTTCGTATTGAGCAGGTGGTAAAGGATGTGTTCGAAGGGCGGCTGTGTCTTTTTGTTTAGATATCAAGGGTTTATTTTCAACCGTTTGATGGATTGTACTTATCTGGTGTAGCCAGATGGATGGTTGATACTCCATTATGTAGTGTGTATCTACTGTCGTTGTTCATTGTTTTTTTCCTTTTTTTTTCCTTTCCTTTTGATTTGAATAAATGCCTCATATTTGACTATTTCCAGCACTTACACAATGCATTGCCTTTGTTCAAAGTAAATTGCAAGCACTATCAAATTCGTTGCAAACCATTAGCATTACGAAGCCAATGCTTGTTGCAAACTAAGACCTCAAAAGGTTCACTTCAATAGGACTGGTCACATTCTTCCGACGAAGTACGAAACACCATAATTTGGCTCCGTGGATTTTAATTGAGGAAAATCATCTTCGCTCTTCCCTTTTCTCCATTCATCCATCCCTCGGTAGTAGTACAACAGAATTTATCAAACCAAAAACAAAGAACAAAACAATGACAAAAGCGTTGAAGGAGAGAAAATGAATGTAAAAATCACTGTCCTTTATTTAGCGCCATCATTGAAAATGAGATATTTTCAACACCATGTTTGAAAATGAGATATTTTGCATGCACATATCATATCAATCAATGCAAGCCAACAAAAACGTCGGTTTCCTGTATTGAAACCCATGTTACAATGACAACTTTGACATTGCATGTTTGCAACTTTGATGAAAATATCCATGGTGTTCATGATGATGGTAAAGTTTACAGGGTGTATTCTTTTTCATTTGTTTTTCTTAATTAATTAGATGCTAAAGAGGGACTCTCTATGGATTCTCTGATACCTCATGTTTTTTACACAATATTTTATAATGTTGGCACGGAAATTGACTTTAAACTGTGAGGTGACAAGAGAGTTTATAGATAGTCCCACTATAAGAGAGTCCTCTTAGCATTTCTCCTTAATGTTGGCAGAGGTGTTATCTCTAAATGGATTTCAATCAATGTAATTCTCTCGCACGAAACGCACCGTGATAAACAAAAGGCCAATCTCTACACGCGTAACTTTGTAAGTGTGTTGCAAGAGACTAGTGAGAATAATACTTAAAAGGACACAAGATATCATACTATATCAATCAACTGGTCTAATAAAAATGTGCTTTATTTTTGTTTTCAATTGGGGCATGTTTCTACTTCAAACTCATTACCCCATAAACAAGCTCCCATGCGTTAAAGCATGTGGGAAGAAGAGAGGGTCAAGTCCTCTGCATGAAGATTATAGTTATTAGTTTGGACTTTAGGATTGAAAATTCAGAGGACGGCTACATCACGTGCATAGTGTGTGCATTCGGATAAGTCCCTATTGATCGCTACACACTTGAAGCCTTCACCACCGCCGTTGTTTCAGCATGCCGCGGCAACCTACAAGCCGTTAGATTTTCCTTGCAGCCTGGAGGCTGGTCGAGACGCTTCATCCCAATGCTCGTGGTCTTGGGTGGCAATCAAAGTGAAAGATTGTGTTGAAATTGTCTTCCTCCAAATTCAATTAGACTTGAAAAAAAATTAGAGTCTTGCAACAAATTATTTTAAATTAAATTGCAACATAGTGATAAATCTTCAATTACGTGAACCAATTTATATTTTCCTTGAAACAAGCAATATTTTGGGAGGTGGACTTCTATTTCGGGGCCTCCGGGCCTCCAATAAAAGAGAGAACTATTTTAACTTACTAAACTACATGCTACTTGCACCCCACACCAATTTTTAGTAGTTCAATAACGTGTTTTTTTGTCGTTTATTCAAGGGTAAATTACATTTTACCCTCTCAGGTTTGAGGTCAATTTCAATTTCTTACAACACCTTTAAAACATTTCAATTTCATACATCTGTTAGAAAATCCGTTAAGTGATGATGTGGTTACCAAATTTGTGCCACGTGGCAAAAAAAATAAATTTTTATGCATTTAAAATATTATATAGGTGGTTTGTGGGGTGGGGGAGGGGGTTGCATGTGGGGAGGGGTGTGCTCGGGGAAGAAGATGGGTTTTTTTTATTTTTTATTAATAGGATAAATTATTATAATATTTTAAATGCATAAAAAAAAAAATCTTTTTTGCCACGTGGCACAAATTTGGCAGCCACGTCATCACTTAGCAGTTTACTAAACAGATTTTCTAATGGATATATGAAATTGAAATAAAATGATAAGTAAATGTATGAAATTAAAATGTTTTAAAGATGTTGTTAGGAATGAAATTGACCCCAAATCTAAGGGGGTAAAATGCAATTTACCCTTTATTTAAATACGGCCGCATTTGGACCTCTTTTTTTTATCCTTTCCCAAAGGCAAATTACATTCATAATTCGATCTTAAACAAACCCCTAGTAACATGTCAACAAATACATAATTAAATTTGCCAAATCTAGCACTATTGAAACAAAATATGAGTTTAAACTTAACTGTAAGGGTTAACTACGTTTTACACCTTCTTACCTCAAACGTGCTGTTAGCTCTAACTAACAGAGTAGCTAGGATTCTCTACTCTCTAAATCCCTTCCTCAGTTCACTCTTATTTGAAATGTCACGACTAAATCACGTCAACATCTTGTGTTGTTCTTTTTAGAAAGAGAAAAAGAAAAAAAGTAAGTGATGAGAGGAGAGGACTAGATGAAGGAATTTCCAGGGAAGAAAATCTTACGCCCTAACTATAATATACAAGACGCACATGGGAGATTCGCACGTGCCATGTACACCCATTCCATGAATAAGCTGAGCTGTATGATTCTTGCTTCTTTATTCGGATACGGATTCTACAGCCGCCCTACCACGCTGTATGATTCTGATGGAACCCCCAAAAGTAAGATTTACTTCTCTAGAAAGTTCACGTGGTTAGGGAACCGCGTGGTGGTAAATACCAAATTGTATCGCTTTGTTTCCACCAAATCTCCACGTGTCCCATCAGCACACGGAGGAGCTGTATATATAAACCACTCACGGTTTCTGTCTTAGCACCACACGCCTCCACCAGTTGCCCTACTTCTTCTTCTTCTTCTACCAAACCTCTCTCAATTTTCCTGCAAAAAAATTGTCAGCAAATATGCCGAGCGAAGGAACATTAAACTGCGTCGACATCCTCCTCGCCATCCTCTTGCCTCCTCTTGGCGTCTTCCTCAAGTTTGGCTGCCATGTTAGTGTTCTTTCTTCTGTGTCCGTTTAGTTTGTAGAGATTATACGTCACACGAACACGCACATGGTAACGCTGTTTGAATCGTTAGACCAGTAGAATTCTACGGATGCAACGGTTCGACAGTGATATTTACGGGTTCATGGTTCTAATATACGGTGGATGTGATGTTTTTTCAGGTGGAATTCTGGATCTGTTTGTTGCTGACCTTATTTGGTTACATCCCTGGGATTATTTATGCCATTTATGCCATCACCAAGTGATGTCCAATTTCTGTAAGCACTCACTTCTCTTAATTCGCTGATAATATATCTTGTTTCAGTAACTATTCCAGCGCTACGTTTTTAGCCATCTGCATTCTAAATTGAATATCTTATTATTTTCTCTGTATTCACATGAAAAATCCATGACAGAGGATCTTCGTCGGATTCTCTTTGTGAGGATTTCAGGATCCTTCAATCACATTCATTCATCATATATGTGCGGTTAGTTTTTGTTAGGTATTGTTTGTATTTAATTTTATATAAAAAATTTAATATAATTTTTGACCACACGATGTACGATAAATAAATGTGATTTAAAGATCCTCAAGATCCTTATAAAGAGACAGCGAGGTTCTCACTCAAAATCCATGAGATTAGAGAAGGAACGTTGTAATCCCTGACATTTCATTCAACCGTTTGAATTTCAAAACAACAAAATTTTCTTTTATTTTTTGTTAAATAAAAAAGAGGATAAAAGTTTAAAGGACCTGATTAGGCAAAAGTTCCTTTCAGTGGACCACCGGCCCAACTATAACTTTGGGAATGGGTCCACGTGACATGACCTGTACCAACTTATTTATGCCACGTTTGTTTTCCTTCGCTGGACAGGTATCAGAGATGCGAAGGACACATATGTCATTTTGTGTTTGCAGTATTGGATTGTTTTCAGCCGTCTGATTATCTGGTGCAGCCAAGTGGATGGTTGATGTTTACATGTAGTGATTGTTCCTTTTTTGTTTTTTATTTTAATTTAATTTTCCTTCCACCTATTATCTGTCTATTGTAAAAGTGGACTGATTCTATTCACACACTTAGTCTTATCCATTATTTATTTTTCAATGCAATTTTTTTTTTTTTCGATAGTAATGTAATTTGGTTTTTCATTTCATCCAATTGGGTTACAGGGTATCTTAGCTTTCCGTATAAAATATACTTAAATTTCTCTAATTTATGAGAGCGAAATTCAAAGTGGAATTTCACTGGGCACGATACTCTCGCCAACTGACGTAATTCACTTTTGCAGTATTAGTTGCATTAGTGGTTCGTATGTATTGTTTGTAGCGTTGTTGTTAAGCAAAAAGGAAAGAACCCCTACCCATCAGTCAGGCGACATATTCTTTTAGGATGTGAAATTTGGATTTGGATCCCATCTAGATTTGTCAGATTCAAATTGTGAGTATCTTAGGAATTCTCATATCTTAATTATTCGTCGTACATTGTACAGTAAAAAATCATTTGATTTTTTTATTCAAAATTAAACACAAATAGTACATGACAAAAACTGATCGCACGATGTACGATGAACATATAAAATGTGGAGATCCTTAAGATTTTCACAAAGTGGATCCGAAGAAGATCCTTTTCCGTGAAATTTGTCTCTCAAATATATTTATAAATTTCAACCAAAAAAATAGATAATCTCTCCTAATTAATGAAACACTCTTTGCCAATCAAAAGAAGATGAAAAGACAAATTAACCTTCTATCACACAAAAAAATGATGGGAAATAATGTAATTTCACAAGTCCAAATTTTACGATTTTTTATTGAAACCTCACCTATAAATAATGTTAAAATACCTTCAATATTAAAAATAAAATAAAATAAAATAAAAAACCTTTCACTTCCCCACGTTCTCTCTCCCTCTCTCTCCCTCTCTCCTTCTCATTTTCTAAAAAATATGTGTTCATATACACAAAATATGTAGGCAAATACTAGTATAATTTATAAAAATATGACTTTAAAAACAAAAACATTTTGGCCTCAGTGGTTCTGTTCAAGAGGAGCGTGAAGGAAGCTACCTAGCATCCAACCAATTGCATCACGACAGTGAAGGTCCGACCCCTCTGTTTTCATTTGTACACAGACGCCACCGTGACAATGCATTCGTGTCATAAAAACTCTATACTAATAGCGGAGGGACAATGAAACTAAGATGCAAGTAAACAGTTTTAACAAACTGAACTACAAGCGCACTGCAACCCAAGTGTTCAATTAACTTTAATCTCAGTTTCTCCAAAATTGATTACAAGCGAAGGGATTTAACCATTTGTATTTTCTTTTTGTGTCTATCTATCTCATCACATGATCCATTGAATTAAATAGAGGCAAGGAAACAAACCATGATGGATAACTAAGAATCTATCCTACTAAAGCTACTTTATATGTCACTTTCTGAGTTGTGTTTTTAATCCTCGGTCAAATAATACTTTGTCTGAAACCGTATTAAGAAAGACATATATGGTAAGAGCAAGGCACAGGTGGTGTCTAATCCAGGAGGTTGCGCACCAAGTAAATAACTAAAGCAGTGAGAATCCATCAAAACTTCAACCCAACTCTTTATCTTTTCCAAATTGACAAGTACCCTTTGTGAGAATCCAATTCGAAATTAAGATTGACAAGGCATTATCTAGTTTATTAAATTCATCAAGATAAGAAGATTACGAGCAGCAAAACAAAGTCAGCGGTTCTATAAGGCCGCTAACACTGGAAAATTCCTCGGTTCATGTTTCAGCAGCGATCCTGAAAACCGCTAAAGATGGAATTTTTTTTTCACGCTGCCTCTGCTTCCCGAATCTTAATTGATAAACAAACATATAAAACATGGTTCAAGTTCACTTTTAGGATCTAGAGATTAATAGAGCGGGTTTATGGAGGGAATACAATGAATGATTGAGAAGTAACGCCTCAAGAGGGAGTTACTTCCGCTCACATAGGCCAAGACACAGCAGATATAAGGTGGTCTCAATTTACATCAACCAGTATACAATCAAACATTTGCAAACCTGCGGTTGAAGAGGGAGAGAGTACGCAAGAATTCCTTAAAAGTGATTCCAATCTTTCTATCATCCTTTGAATTGCCACTCCCTACGGCACATGGGGCAATGTGCCTGAGACGTCTGTGAATTTACCCATTTTAAGATGCAATGAAGATGGAACGCATGGTTGCATGCACCCCAAACTGCGAATAGAAGATAATTTGTCGTCAAATTGTATCAATAGAAATCACACTACTAACGCAAAATGTGAAATGTCGCAATCTGGTTGGTTCAATGCAAAAAATAACAATTCAGTTGGGCCAGCTTGATACTATAATCAGGAATACAGGGGTTGACCATTAGCTTCGGAGCATATCATGGTAGTTGTGTGCATTGCAAACCATGTGTAAGATGATGTTCTATGAAACCATGTGTTAATGATGTTCTAAGGTGTCGGCACAAGATCTGATGTTAGGCATTTGAATCATATTTGGGAAGTTCACAGTAGAAAAAGAAATAATATCCGAATGTCGATGCCTGTAAATTATCAATGAACTGTATATTCCATAATATTTTGCAACAAAGCATTGCTATGAATCGATGCTATTATATATGGAAGAATAGCAAGACCCGCATAAATCATGATAGGAAAGTGAAAAAAGGCACAACCATGTGGACACAGGCAACATGAGCTTCACTTTTCCACCAGAGCACGTTTATAGGTCAATATGAAAATCAATTTCTGGACATGGACCTTAATAATAGAAGAAATGTAAGAATTTGGTGAAACATAAAACATGGTGCAGGGCATAAAGACGGTAATGTTAGTGACTTACTTAGTGGGCAATCATCCCCAGGGAGTTTACAATCGGGACAACAACCATCAAATGCCATCCTACAAATCCCACATGTTTCGTCTTGTGCATCCCATGTCCATGAAGCAACAGCATGCCATCTGAAGGTCCAAAAGGATAAGAATTAGAGCTCCAAAGTAGACGAAATAAAACATATCCCAGAAAAAAGGGCACATCAATGTTAAAGACAGATTCACATATGCAGGAATTGATTAATGAACAGATCAGATAGAGAAGAGGTAAAGAGGACATACTCTGTTTAAAACCCAAAGCAGATATTTGCAAAGAGAGTCGGGTCAAGAGAAAACTGTTTGAATGCGTCCAACCATTTCACAACATAGATGTTTCAAGTTATAACAAGACCACACGAGCAAATGGGATTCTCAAGTTATTACGATTATTGTTATCAAAATACTCGCACCGAATAATTAAAGGGGGAACATATGCTAGAGATTCATGGCTAACTTATAAGATACTGATCTAGTGATCGACATTTGTAACATTAGACTACAATCAAGGTAGTAAAACTCTAGAGCTCATTAACTATTCGTAATTCATGACAAGAAGACAAATAATAGAAATTCAACACTGTCAAGTGGATATTCGTTCCACCATGATTAAATGCAAAATTTTAACACCATAGAAGTGAAAGAACAGAACACTACACAAGCTATTTCTAAAATATATAAACTAGTAGATTTGAAAGAAACAACAGAATCGAAATCGTAGCAATTCGACACTATCAAGCTGAAATTTAATCTACCATATGATTAATGCAACAAAGTTAAAATAAAAAGAAGAGGAGAATGAAAAATCCAGTTACAAATGGTATAAAGTAGTCTTTTGAAAGAACGAACAGAATAACACAGTGAGAAGGATACGCAAAATGTTGACTTTCATCTTCTTCTCCTGCAACTGCAAAACCCCAAAACCCTATATTTCAGAGCAGTGAATTAGAATAAATCCCAAATGTTCCCAGAATTTCAGGAATTTCATATTCCAAAATGTACTCACCGAACAAACTCCTCGATTCAAGCTCAATGGAGATCGCAAGCCTGAACCCTCTCGAGACTGAAATATGTGGCTAATTACTGCAGAAATCGGACTCTAATTCCGATTCCAGTTCCGGTTCCGGTACCCCTCTCGATATCTCCCTGTCTGCAAAACCCTAATTGGAAAAGGGAAAGCCGCGGTCCAGTTTTGGGCGGGTTGAGAGACCACCGCTCAATTGGGCTAAATTTGAATTCATAATGTTTAACATTTTGCAAGTGAGCCCAATAGTAGAAAGGGAAGTTTTTCGAGAATACGTTATACTGACACGTAATATTATTTGTCCAACTTTATAATATGTTCGATTATTAGAAAGTAGAAATTGAAAATTCATTATCGCATCAGAGTGATAGGTGAACATTCGAAGGAGGGATGAATGGCTAGCGCCCAAAATTTCTGCTCGAGAGATTTTTTTTTTTTTTTTTTTTTTTTGCTTAAGATGTTTTTTTTTCATTTTGAAATGTGGAAAGGTAAAATTAGAAATTGAAACTTCCTGATAGATAGATAGATATATATACATATATATATGTATATGTATGCCAGAAAAGAGAGAAACAAAAATTTCTTAAAGAAGAAAGAATTTTACCATATATGTAATAATTGTCTTTTAATGAATGAATGAACTGTACAGAAAATTTTGCGTTACATACATGCATCTTTTTATGAAATTTCAGGATAAACTTCCATATTAAACCAAAAGGTGGATAATATCAAATAAAAATCCAAGAAACCCATGTAAATAAACTTCTATTATGCTAATAAATCCCCGGCCTAGATTTTCATACTGTAAATTTGTTAGTCACAGAAATATCAAAGTAGGTGATTTTTGCACTTTTTTTTTATTTATGACTCTCAAATAAATAAATCAAATGAAAACAACGATCATGATTAAACAGAAGTATGTGTCAGTCGTAAAAGATTGTGTATTTGCCGTTTTAAAAGTATTAAAATTTCTATTGAGGACAAAATCTTTCGTAATTGCTTTAGAGTAGGCCCTTGCAAAATACTATAAATAGCATAGGTTTCGATTAAGGGTAAAGCACACCGATCTGAAACCTAGAGCCGCCCTCTTCCTTTCATTTCCCTAGTTTCCATTTCTCTTTCTTTTGAGAAACTATGACTAAAAGGAAGCTAAAACTAGCCTTCATCGAGAACGACTCGTCACGAAAAGCGACATTCAGGAAAAGGAGGACGGGCTTCATGAAGAAGATGTATGAAATCAATAAACTTTGTGATGTCCCAACATGTGCTATCATGTATAGTCCAGATCAGCCTCAACCTGATGTCTGGCCTGATCCTTCGGAGGTGCGACGCCTCATCGAGCTGTTTAAGAACGTGCCTGAGAAGGAGCGAAACAAAAAGATGGTGACCCATGGGATGTTTCTGAAGCAGAGGATCGAAAAGGAGCAGGAGAAGCTGAACAAGTTGAAGAAAGAAAACCGAGAGAAAGAACTTCGGATGGCCATGAGCCAATGCCTCGCGGGGAAACCCTTAAATGGCTTGGACTTCACCAATTTACAGGAAATGGGGTGGATGATCGACGAGAAGTTGAAGGACATTGCCGTGACAAAGAGCCGAAAGGAGAACGAGCTGGCAAAGATAAATCAACCCTTAGTTGGACAACCACCAGCGCATGCAACATCAGCCGATGAGAACACTCAAGACGCCATACAACTGGCTCCATGGTCTGTGGGGGGCGTGCGGAGCTCAAAATTTGGTGAAGTGGATGATCAGATAATGCCGCTTGGGGATTATTAGGACTACCATGTTCGGTGGTGCTAGGTGGTCTAAGAACCCTTTTAATTTCTCTTAAGCTATTTAAGTAGTTTTTGTTGTTTGTTATTTCTGTTGTTTTGCTTCAGCGTTGTTTTAAGTTATTTCTAGTTTGATGCTTGTTTACCTTGGTATCAAAACCACAGGGTTTGTATGTCTCTTAATTTCTTGATTTTATGTACTAAAAATTAATATTTTATATATGAGAGTAGCTTGGTAACTTTGGTTTGCATTATATGATTTAGTGTTATTTCTCATCTCGAGTAAATGAAAAATCTTAGATTCGAATATCATAGTTAACGAGTTTGAACCTTGAATGTAAAATCTTTGTTCCCTCAAAGCTACTAAAAATCACCCAAATCTGAAACCATATGACGGTTGGATTAAATGGTAGTCATTTTTTTTATTCTTTGAAAAGCTGTATTCGTCGATTTTATTCACTACAATTAGTTGTCTTAGATGTTTTAGAGTTTCTAATTTTTCGCAAGAATAATTTATGAATGACAAATTAAAGGATAATGCTAGAGAGACCAAATTTTAAATCAAATTTGCAAACCAAAATGATGTGTCACCAATATAAAATAAATGCGTCAATCAACATGTTAGTACCTATTCAATCATTAACAACCACATCGTTTGGTTTACAAAATTTGGTTTAAAATTTTAATCTCCCTAGCATTACCCTAAATTAAATATTGACGGTTTGGGTCGTTGAAAATGGTTGGAAATAAATACTAAATTTATTACTTTTTAATCGACTAGTTATATGATTTTGAATTTGTGTGATTTTTTGTGGAAGTGATTTTTGACGAAAGACTCAAAAGATTGAAATTCACTATGAAGTGGCTTAAAAAAAGTGTGTCAAAATGTATGTATAACATAGATTTCAATAAATTACATTTTGTCAGGATTATGTTCTCATACCTTATCTTTAAAATATTGTAATGTCAAGCATACCGTTGTGTTTTGGTTCTCATGTTAGACCTTCATTAGTTAATTGGTCACATTAAATGTCAAGTGATGATGTGATAACTACATGTTATGCATATGCCAGATAATATTATATGGGTACAAAATATAATTAAAATTATAATTAGGGAGTTGTTATTGATACTCTAGAGAAAGTTTATATTTTTCTTATTTTTTGAACAAACAATATTATCTATACTACGGGTGTGGGGAAGTGGGCTACGCCTCACAACGGGCTAGCGATAATATGATTCAAATTTGTCTTTACCGAGAATCGAACCTAAGACCTCTCACTTACAAGTGAAGAAGAATATCACTAGACCATAATACTAATTACATAGAAAGTTGAGTGCACAATTTGCACTTACGCTGTCTAAAAATAATAAGGAAAGTTAAGAACGAATTCTAAACCTGTATTTTACACGACATGTCTTGAGTTTAATTTTTGACGTTGGTAAATCACACTTTATGGAGAACCACGGCACCCATCCTCCAACAACAAAATCCAAGAATTAAAAATCAGAAAATAAAAAATGAAACCCACCACTCGCGCAGTCGTCAACGTCATCACCAACTTGAGTGGCTTCATTGTTGTTTCCCTGTCCATTTCATATTCAGATCATGAAGCCGCCGTAGTGTTTCTGTCAGGGGTCTCCGTCTCCGTGATTAAATCCAGAAAGATTAACGCCATTGAAGAAATGAGGAAAGGAACAAAAGCTCCATATATATATAATTGTTATAAATTAATTAGTGCACTCGAAACAAAGAACAGAATAACACAGTTAAAGGTCACGCAAGAAATTAGTTTTCCAGCCACTGGAGTTTGTGAAGTGGAGATGGTGGGTAGGAGTAGGTTAGGTCAAAAGTTCGAAACCCTAACAAAAATAAAGAATGTTAACTTTCATCCTCTTTGTCCTGCAAAACCCAGAACCCTACATTTCGTAGCAGTGAATTAGAATAAACTCTTCCTGGACCTTGGCACCTTACTCCAACTCAAAATGTGCCCAAAAACAGGAATTCAATTTCGAAATTGCGATTAGGTGATTCTAAAACCCTAAATCTACTTACCGAGATGAACACCTCGTTTTGAGAGGGATCGGAAGCCTTAACCCTTTCAAGACTCAAAGGTGTGGCTAATCACCGCAAAGGTCCGATCCCGTTTCCAATTCCAGTTGATCTAGAGACGAGCCCTAATTGTGAAATGGAAGAGCAACCCTAATTGTGAAAAGGAAGTGTTGCAAATCACAATACTCAAATTGGGCCAGTTTCAAATTCATTAGTTTAAATTTTGCAAGTGAGCGCAGGCTCAAAACACCCCCAATGGCTGTAAGCAATTTGAATAATGTACTCAATAATATTTATGGACGAAATATTTTTGCAGGTAATACTATTACATGGTGTTACTTAGTCACTTATGTTATGACATGTTTTAATTATTAAAAACTTTGCCTAGGTTTCTATAAAACGATTTACTATCATATAGTTTCTGTTTCTAATATAGGGACAAGTAATGTTTTTGTGACTTCGTTAGAACCCTAAATTTGTTGTGAAGCAAACGGTAACTCATCGACTTGCCAAATTTTCTTAAATGAGCGTTATCTTTTTTTTCTTTTGGCATGATCGAGGTGCGCTCTAATTTAATTGGACACCATGTTAGATAATTATTGTAGTTGATGTCAGGCTTCCGCCGCCTTCGGAAGATTTTTAGATCATTAACAATTTCCCTCTCGTACCGCTTAGGTTCTTCAAAATCCAAAGCAAGCAAAACTTACTCCTAATATTTTTTTTAGCCACAGCGAAAACTCAAGTAGCTAGGCCATTGCATTCGGAGTGGTGGTTGAGCATTCGGAGGAGAGATCGATGGCCTATATGTCCGGCCGCTCAAGAGTTTTTTTTTTTCTTTTTATTAAGATGTTTTGATTTTTTATCTTTAAATACGGAAAAAGTAAAATTAGAAATTTAAGTTGTCTTGATATATATGGTATATTCATAATATATGCCAGAAAAGAGTGACAAACAAAAATTTCTGAAAGAAGAATGGATTAATTACCTTATTAGTAAGTAATTACCAAAGATATAGCGATATAATAACTCTATTTTAACTAATGAATAAATCATACAGGAAAATCTGTGTTTTCATACATGCATCTATGTATTCAAAATTCCAGACAAACTTCCATAAAAACCAAAGGTTGGATAATATCAAACAAAAATTCATCAAAATCATGTAAATAAACTTCTATTTTGCTAAAAAAAATCCCCAGCCTAGATTTCATATTGTGAATTTGTTAGTGGCATAAATATTAAACCCAATGTACATATATGCCAAAATAGTCTACATTAATTATTGTATATCTCATTGTAAAAGTAATAAATTTCTTTTGAGGTCAAAATCTTTCATGATTGATTAAGGTTAGCCCTTGCAAAATACTATAAATAGCATATGTAGTATAGGGTTAAAGCACACACTATAACCCTAAAGTCACTAAGCCTCTCTTCTCTTCTTTTTCCCTAGTTTCCATTTCTCTCAAAATTTTCTCTATTTTGGGAATATCATGGCTGGGAGGAAGAAGGTGAAACTAGCCTACATCATCAACGACGCGTGTCGAAAAGCATCATACAATAAAAGGAAGAAGGGCTTCGTGAAGAAGATGAAGGAAATTAGTATTCTTTGTGATGTTCCAGTATGTGGTATTCTGTACAGTCAATATGAGTCTCAACCTATTGTCTGGCCCAATCCTTTAGAAGTGCAACGCCTCATCACGCAGTTCAGGAACATGCCTGAGGAGGAGCGGAATAAAAAAATGGTGAACCATGAGATGTTTCTGAAGCAGAGGATCGAAAAGGAGCAAGAGAAGCTGAACAAGCTGAAGAAAGAGAACCGGGAGAAGCAAATCCGGATGCTCATGAACCAGTGCCTCGCTGGGAGGCCCCTTACTGATTTGAACTTAGACGCTTTGAATGATATGGACTGTATGATCAAGGGGAGCTTGACAGAGATTGTCACACAGATCAAGAGCCGGAAGGAGAAGGAGGTGGCGTTGATGAACCAACCCCAAGTCGCACCACCACAAGTGCTTGCAGCCACAACTGATCAGAACATGCATGCAGCAATGGAAACGCAGGTGTTTGATCAAAGCAACATATACACCAAGCAGACGGTTCCATGGTTCCTTGGGGACGTGCCAAACCAACAATTCGGTTTTGCTGATGATCAGATCCCACCCCTTTGATTTCCCTCCAACTATTTATTGAGTAGTTTTTGTAATTTGTTTTTCTGTTTCAATAGTGTTTTAAGTTGTTTCCAATTTGATGCATGTTTACCTTGACATCAAAACCACAGTGTTATTATGTCTTTTAATTTCTTGAATTTTATGTAGTAAAAATTTAATTATATAAGAATTTTTTTTTGCATTCATATATTTTTTTTTAATTAGGTGTTATCCTCTAACATTTTTAATATATACTTGATAGGTTTCAAAGATTCATATATATAAACATGTATGGAAGGGGGAAGATCAATGAGAAAATCAAAGAAATAACGACCAATCAACAAGCAAACAAAATTATGGGACCTATCAACCAGTGGGATGAATAACTTAAGACTTGAAGAGCAATTCTTTATGTATGTTTATACCATTTTTTATTGAATAATAATGTTTATAACATTAAAGGGCAAACTTCCGCCCCTTTAGTTAACTCTAGTTATCTGGAGTAATAAAACATTGTAAGAAAACATTCAAAACGCAAGTGATAAATTTTTCCTTTTCGTTATATGCATATATTGAAGAAGAAAAGAAGAAGAAGGTGTTTTATATGAAAGAATTTTATCGAAGACTAATTCACGTAGGTACATTTGTAAAATTATGTATGTCAATTGGTTTTACGTATGTATAATTGTTCAAGCTGGATTTCTGGGTCTGGTCCCTCGCACAGCTTCTCGGGGAAATGGCTCTTTCTTGCCCATTGGGCAAGATCTTGCTACTTGGTGTACTGTAAGGCGAGTTTATAGTTAGTTTGAAAGGTGCCTTTGTGGGGCCTTTGGTGTAGGCCTTGAGGCTCACAGTAAAAAAAAAAAAAACAAGGATCTAAGGTACCACTGTTATCTTTGTATAATAGATTGTTGAATGGAAGTGAATTAAGTTGGTTACTTGCATCCTAAGTTACTTAGACTTCTTGTTTATCAAAAGATTGCGACAAATGGGTTAAGTTTGCAATAAGTTATTTTCTTGCCTTGTAAACAAGGACTTTTAATTCATAGTTTTATATGTCCAAAATGAAGGGGGTTCAAGGTCCTTCCAACCATTTCCTCGATCAAAGTTTACTTTAATGAAAACAGGCTTAATAACTTAACCAGATCCGAATGCAAATGAAACTCTTAAGTAGAAAACAGTTGAAAATGATTTAAAAACAAGAAGGAATGTACATTAAATGACAGATATACTAAATGTAAATACAAACAAAAGAGACTTGGGCAAGATCTAACCTAGTCGGGCGAGGTTTAACTTTTTGCAACCACTTCTCTTTATGTTTACAAGGGTTTGTATGCAATGAGGGATGAAAAGTAAATATGTTTCACTAGAGGGAATCGATACTACAACAGTAAGGGAAGGTAGCAGAGCTTCTAATCTCGACAAAAGATGACTTTCTATGAGGGAACTATAGCTAAAAAGGACTGGATGTGGACAAAATTCAGCTTTCTGGGGTACAAACTAGCTTGAGAGCAGAGTTTGATATGTTGGTTGAGTGCTCTTATCTCTAGTGCCCCTCTCAGCTTTTATAAACAATTTGGCCCGACTGTCTCAACTCTGCTTTAGCTGATAACTTTCAAAGGGCAGTGAGTCATCACTTATTTGCTTGTCATGCCCTTGAAAAATGCTTTTTGGCTGATGGTGAGTTATTCTCTGTCACCCATCACTTTAGTCATAGGCATGTGGCCTATGCTTTGGCTGAAATGGCTTTCAATTTACCTCAAGCCTATAGACTAGGCTTGGGTAAGTCTTCATTTGCTTTTGTGCATTTGGACCTTTATTACCACAAAGCCCGATGTCAAATATAAACCCAAACAATAATACCTTAATAGTTAGACAAATCTTTCAATTTAATAGCCGAAGAAGATAACATTTATGCTTGGATGCTAACCACATTTGACAAATGTAAACAAATATATTTCTTCTGGTAACTTTAATACTTTATAAAGCTGTTTCTTAAGTTTCTACATGCTTCAGAGGGTGATTTGCAAGAAGAGTAAGAAAAGAAGAAACGTTGTTCATGTGGTTTTTAGTTTTTATTAATTAATTTTTTTTTAGTAAAATTGAGGTTTTAAAAATACCATTTATTTTGATCTAAGTCATAGTTGTACGGTAGGTATTTAACTAATTGTTTGTCATATAACCCACTCATAGGCACATCATTCAAGTATTAATTATCCGATGCGGAGAGAGTACCTATCATATATCTTGTTACTCAATAATATGATATAATCACTTGTTTCATTCATCTTACATTATTACCTAGAAAGCTTTGTGATTCAAATACAAAGAATTTTGAGTAGAAATTCATACTCATTCTTAAGTAGTCAAGCATTATTCTATTGTTTTACTTTACCTTTTGCACGTGAGCCCAATAGTACAAGGACAATGTTTCGATGAGGCATCATACTAACATGTACGTGATAGTATTCATCTAATTTTGTATTACTTTTAATTATTATAAACTGTAAAGTTATTATCTTATCGGAGTGGCAGGTGAGAATTCAAAAGAGGGATTGATGGATAGCGGGTCCGGCTTACTCGAGTTTTTTTTTCTTAAGATGTTTTTATTCCTTAAATTGGTAAAATTAAAAATTTTAAATTGTCATCGTATAGAGTACATCCACATGTATAGTGAGGCGTCGAACTGTAAGTTCTCTATTGAATAAGAGTAGTAGGTGAGCATTCCAAAAAGGGATGGATGTTGTTGGGTAACGCCCGCTAAAGAGTTAGTTTTTTCTTTCTTAAATGCGGGAAGATAAAATTAGAAATGTAAACTGTCTTGATATATAGTATGTAACATGTGTATGCTAGAAAAGAAAGAAACAAAAATTTCCTAATAAGTGATAACTTGTAAAGACAATTATATATAATATTAATATTTCTTTAATAAATGAATGAACCATACCAAAAAAAAAAATCTGTGTCTTAGTGCATGCATCTGATGAAAGTTTCAAGATAAACTTCCATATAAAACCAAATAGTGGATAATATCAAACAAATCCAACAACTAATGTGTATAAACTTATATATGGTAATAAATATCCGTCCTAGATTTCATATTGTAAATATGATAGTCGCATAAATATTGAGAATGTGATTTTTGCACATTCTTATTTATTTTTTATCATCATATTAAATAAATTAAACAAAAACAATGAATATGATTAAACAGAGGTTAAAAAGAGTGTTTATCATTGTAAAAGTATAAAATTTCTATTGAGGAAAAAATCTTTCATAATTAATCAGAATAGGCCCTTGCAAAATACTATAAATAGCATATGCTGGTTTGGGTTAAAACACACCGATTAAAAATCTGAAACCCTAGAGCCGTCCTTTTCCTATTTTCCCCTAGTTTCCATTTCTCTTTCTTTTGAGAAACCATGACTAGAAGAAAGGTGAAACTAGCCTTCATCATTAACAACTCATCGCGAAAAGCGACATTAAAGAAAATGAGGAGGGGCTTCATGAAGAAGATGTATGAGATCAATAAGCTTTGCGAAGTTCCAACATGTGCTATAATGTACAGTCCAGATGAGTCTCAACCTGATTTCTGGCCTGATTCTTCAGGAGTGCAACGCCTTATCGAGCAGTTCAGAAACTTGCCCGAGGGGGAGCAAAATAAGAAAATGGTAACCCATGAGATGCTTTTGAAGCAGAGGATAAACAAAGAGCAGGAGAAGCTCAACAAGCTGAAGAAAGAGAACCGGGAGAAACAAATTCGGATGCTCATGAACCAGTGCCTCACTGGGAAGCCCCTGACCGGCTTGGACTTCAATGATTTAGAGGATATGGGGTCAATGATCAACGAGACATTGAAGGACATTGTCGTGAAGATCAAGAGCCGAAAGGAGGAAGAGCTGGTAGAGATGGATCAACCCTCAGTTGCACAACCACCGATGCGTGCATCAGTAACTGATGAGAACTTTCATGACACCATTTAGAGGGTTCCAAGGTCCATTGGGGACGTGCTGACCCCACAATTTGGTGATGTGGATGATCAGGCCCTACCGCTTAAGTGTTAGGACCACCGTGTTAGGTGGTCTAAGAACCCCTTTAATTTAGCTTGAATTGTTCAAGTAATTTTTGTTATTTTGCTTCAGGGGTGTTTTAAGTTATTTCTATTTTGATGCTTGTTTACCTTTACATTAAAACCGCAGGGTTTGTCTCTTAATTTCTTGAGTTTTATGTACTAAAAATTAATTATATAAGAGCTGCTTGCTTGGTAACTTTTGTTTGTGCTTTACTTTATTTAGGCTACTTAGTATATTTTTTTTCATAATGAGAAATCTTAAAGTCCGAATTCTATAGATGGCGAGTTTGAGACCAATTTATTTCCTCTTATTTTCTGGTATACATGTAGGGGGTTAGAATCCGAGGACACATTTTGTGACACACAGTTTGTAGGGCTTACTCTATGATGTATTTCAATGATCTATCTTTTACGTTATCTCTCAAAGATCATGTCTACCACAAATCACCCAAATCCAAAGCATATGATTGTTGGATTAAATTTAGTGTTTTTTTTTATAGAACCGTATTTGTTCATTTTCTTCATTACAAAATGCCTTAATGATTTTGAATTTATCTCAATTTTTGTAAGGATGATCTATGAATGATGAATTGAAATATATACGGTTTTGATTTTTTTTAAAAGGTTTCGGAATGGGACCCACAAAAATGTGTGTTATCTGTCTAAATGCAAGATAATAAAAGACACTAAGCGCTAGTTGGACGGTGAGTTGGGGCTTAGCGCCTAGACGCTTAGGTGGGGCCTAAACGGATTTCATTATGTTAGATTTAAATATATGTAATATATACCTAATATGTTTTTTATTTAAAATAACATATATGTAATGTTAGAGTTAATACATAATAATATAAGTGGCAGGGGTGGGTTCGATTCCAATCAGTTCGGTTTTGTTTGGTTTCTTTTTTTTTCAATTTTTATTCAGTTTGGTTTAATTTGGGTTTGTTCGATTTTTTTATAAAACCTTATAAAACCTTTTTTTTTTTTTAATCTGAAAAGTGTTCTAAGCTCTAACTTTGCTTCCAGTTTTTCATTTCCAAGAAAGTAAAGGAAGAAATTAAAGAAGAGAAAGAGAAAGAAGATGCATGAAGACACAAAGAGAAAGAAGACGCATGGGAGAAAAAAAAAGGAAGAAAGAAGAGGGTAGGGTTGGGGAAAAAAAAAAGGACTTGGATTATAGGTTAATGACTGACCTAAAATAAAAGCTTAAAACTTGAGTTTAAATTTAAAATTGGGCTTGGAATATAACCCAATAGTAAATAAACAAATAAAATTAATTATATTTAATTTGGTTCGGTCTGATTCCGTTTTTGAATCACCGAAACCGAAACCAAACCAAAAACTTTTGATTTAGTTTCCTTAATTCGGTTTGGTTCGATATTCGGTTTGATATTTTTTGGTTTTCGATTTTCAAACCCACTCCTAATAAGTGGAACGAGGAAACGTGCAACCAAAATAGGGATGGTGGGACCATAAACAAATCGTCCATTCCATTCAAATTGATAAGAAGATGGTGGTCCCCATCAGTCCATCTTCTTCCTCCTGACTATATACCATCAGTTTTTCCCATATTCATAAAAAATTTCAGACTCCGATGTCTTTAAATACAGCCACTTAGGCTTGCCTAACCTTCATCTAGCTCTACCTAGTTCTGCATAATGTCGTCCAGTCCCGCCTAATCTCGCCCAGGCATCGGCCTAATGTGTTTTCTGATTTTACCACCGACTAAGAGTTAATCACGATGGTCGGCCACCGTCCAGCCCTAAGTAATTTTGAAGTGGTCGGTGACCCACTTAAGGCAAAGTATTGAGTAGGGACTTTGCTCGACGAAAAATTCATCACGCAAAGGTCCACGATTTATTTAAAACCACATATTGACTCTCCCTTTTCCTCACATACTTTTTCCGAAACTCTAAAGTTCCCCCCGTTTTCTTCTTCCCTAAACCTCTCATATCCAATTTTTGTTTTAATTTTCTGTACAATGTTTGATTCCGTTGCTCCTCCAACTAAAGGTTGTGAGGGAGAAGGATCTCGGAAAGATAATACTTAATTTTATATGGATTTAATAGTTTTATTTTTATTTTTTAAAAAAAATTATTGGATGAATTACTTAGTTTGATTATGAAATTTATATTTTTTTCGTAGACAAAAAAACCAAGAGAATATCGGTGGGCCCAAATGGTGATTGATGGCCGACTTAAACGAATCATCTATGATGATTTCAGAGGATCTAAGACGAAGGCGCATGCCATGCTTGGGCACAACGTTGGGGTACTAGTGCAGAACAATTGTTCTACAAAGTGGGCATCTTGGAAAAAGGTGCTGGAAGAGCTAAAGAAGTTTATGTTGGATGACTTATCAGTAAGTGTGAATTAGTAAATTAATAAAAAAAAAATTTAAATAGTATATTATAATGTTTAATAATTAATTATTTTTTACATAACAGGATAATTATATTATTAAAACGAACCCAAACTTGATGAAGTTCATCGATAACATCTTCGAGGGGTTTGCGGAAGTGGAAGTATGACGTCGAGCGATATGATAGTGAAATCCTTCAGGACCAGCGCAGTAGAAGTGTTATTTAATTGTTATGGACGAATAATATTCTTTTTTTAGTATGTATTTGTGGACCTGTATTTTTAAATATTTCTTTAATTTGTATTTTGATTAAATTTTGATTTTTAGTAGTTATTTGGTTACTATAATTTAACAAGTTTTATTATTTTAATAAATATTAATTTAAGTATTTGTTTGGAATTTTGAAGTTTATGTAAACAGAGAGTATTCTCTAATTGTTCTTCTATCAAGGTCTAATGAAATCTGGAATAAACTTTGACGGAAGAACAATTGTAGAATACTCTCTGATTACATAAACTTCAAAATTCCAAACAAATACTTAAATTCAAAGTCCTTCGTCGCGCAATTATTAAGGCGACAAAAAAATTTTGTGATGAAAGTCAATTCATCCCACGAAGTTATGTCGCGCAAAGAGCATTAGTGGGACTAATGTTACATTCGTCGTGGAAATTTGCGACAATATATGTTTCGTGCCACGAAACCTTTATCGCACAAATGTTTCGTGTTTATAATCAAATTGCTCAACCACAGAGGCAGAAACTGCAAAATATTTTGTAGCAGCTGCCTCTACACCTCCTCCCCCATCAGCTTCCAAGAACAGAATAACAGTGAAATAGTTAAGCAAGATATCACTTTTTTTTCATTCATCTTGTAAACTAGAAATTGTCCACGTATCATCTTTTGTTAAAGGAAGGGCTAAACAAAAATTACTCTAATGGAAAGTAGAATTTTTTTTTCCACTTTGTAGATGTACTTTGAAGTGTTATTAGAATCTGAAATTATTCTCTCTAGAACGTACTTTGCAAAATGTAAAGAACGCTCTACTAATAAAATTCTATGTGGGACTTTGAAGGGTTAATCCTAAACAATAAATTATTCATGGAAATAAAACAACAAAAGGTACTCACAAGGGATCTTAGAATTAAAAGTGAAACTTTATAAAGTTATAACAGAATTAGAAAAGATCACAATTTCATACAGCTATAACTTTAGGCTGGAATCACTAGTTACTTGTCACTACACCACTACACCAAGAACTTTAGGCTGGAATCACTAGTTACTTGTCACACTTTGTGTTTTTAATTATGTCTCGAATGTGGACGTTAACGGAGGTGGAGCCATTCAGGATCGAAAGAAAGTTGGCAGACAAGGGAAATAAGCAGGCCGATTTTTAGCTACTCCTCGTGGAACTTCATTTTGATCTCACTTTACCTCTTGTAACTTAAAAGGCGTCATTTACTCCTTGAAACTCAAAATTTATTTCACTTTAAATTGTGGACTCTCTTTTCTCTTTGAAACTTATAGGTTCCCTCCTAAAACATATGTAGGTCCAACACCTAATAAGATTATAATACGTGTGCAATAATTTGATAATAAATCTCTATTATGCATTAATATTAACAATTAGAGAATATTAAGTTTAAAATAAATTGAAGAAATGAAAAAAAAAAAAATTGATTAGTGTGGCTTACCCAAATTAAAATCACATAAGAAATTAACAGATTTTAGGTAATGTGGAGCAAATTTTGAGTTTTATAGAGACGACTTTCAAGTTTTAGGAGGTAAAATAAGATCAAAATCGAGTTCCAAGAGGCAAAGTGGAGCGAACTATATATGAGTTTTAGAAAATAAAGTGACAACTTTTGAGTTGCAAGAAGTAAAGTGAAATTAAAATCAAGTTCCAGGAGGCATATAGCTAAAAATAAGTCAAATAATAATCCCTTCGAATAAAAGTTGTGATCAGCAAAGTTGCCAATGGTTTTTTCTTTTTGCTAAAAAAAAAAATTAATCCCTTCGAATATTGCTAAAATATAGTACAATCCCAAACCAACGGCGAATGAACGAAATGTTAGTAATCCGAGCCAACAGCAAATTAATGAACAATAATTAGTACAATCTGCACCTAGTTTAATATGAGACCTTATATTACTTCACCAAGCCTGTAACCAACTCGATAATATTTAATTAGCAGCCATATTAGTGGAGAATGCTGAAAAACAACTTGCTCCGGTTGTTTGATTAGCTGATTTGAGTTATGATTCTCTGCGACAGGGTAAAGATTTAGGGTTTTGGGTAAAGATGTTATTACGTGACACAAGATGCATAGTTGTAGACACCAAAACAACAGCTAGCCGGATGAACGAAAATTAGTACATTCTCCACTCACTTTAACACGAGACCGTAGATTAGTTCACCGAACGTGTAATTTCATGATTGTAGACACCGAAACAACTAATAGCATTAGTGAAGAAAGTTTTAGAAACAAGTTGCTCGACTTGGCGTGATTTGAGTTTCGATTCAATGCCATGGGGTGAAGATTTTGTTATGTGACACACAACATTCATAACATGCTTTAAATTGATTCTGGTTCAAATTGATGTTAATTATGTGTCTCCTACTATTTTGGAGGGTTGGTCTGGTGTTTTTTTCTCCACCATTCTTTTGTTTCTGCTAGCTGTACATACTGTCTGTGGAAAAAAAAAATCCTATGCCTAGCTACAATTGCATGTTGCAGTAGCCTTTAAAAACAAGCATCTAAAGTAAAAGGCTCATTGTTATAAAAATCTTCGTCTGGAAAGGCCTAGGCTCGTCACCGTCCCAATTAATTCTTAGGCATTTGACAATTAAGAAAAGGCAGTCTGAGCAATCTAAAGTAAAATGCTCACCGTTTTTAAAAAATCTCCGCCTAGCACCACCTAAATCGGTCACTGCCCTGATTAATCTTTAGGCGTTTGACAATTAAGGAAATGCGCTTAGACCTACTTAGGCGCTCGCCTAGACCCGCCTAAGTACCCACCTAGATCGCGAGTCTCACTTAAACAAAAAGTAGATAACTTATGATTTGCATTTTATTTTTTTTCAATATATTTTAAGAGACTTGTTGAATATTTGGATGAATATTCATTATATACTTGGTCCCATGTTTTCTATATGTTCTAATACTTTATAATCTATATGTCATTCTATTTTGCAATATATGTATCCCCATACAATTATGTATTTTTTAACTATAAACAAACACTTATTTATAAGATATATAATATATTTGCTTAAATCTATTTAGTCCGCTTAGGCTCCCAACCACCTAGGCGCTAGACCCCATCCAGCCACCCGACTAACGCCTACTATCTTTTAAAACCTAAAGATTTGAGAACAAAATTAAAGCATGAATTAGCTACAAAAGTAAAATGATGTACAATAATTTGTGTGGAGGAAGCCACAACCCCTATTCGTGGAACTGTACATGTTAGATTCCAAATAGTTATAGGCACTTAACTTTGAATCAGTATATATTGTCAGAAAGGTAACTGAGTAAATTTCTTGCATTACGAAGCTAGAGTCCGGTTCTCGTCTTTCCTAACCGCCCTAAGATATTTAGAAAATTTAGAGAACTTTTCATGCATGCGCCCGTTGTACCCAATAATTTTTTAAATCAATAGGCCTTAAGGAGACAGCTGCTTTATAATATATCTGAAATTTGGTTAAGAATATCATGTGAATCACGTTGAAGGTTAAAATCTAAGGAACTCAATGTGCTCGTTAAATTTTCTTAATCTTGCAAATTTGCAATTATACAATTAAATCATGAACATCAAGCTCAAGAACAAAGTTGCTGTATGAAGCCACAGAAAGACTGGTTATTGAGTTGTTGCATATATAATGCAAATCAAAAGCAACCTGAATTTTTTTTTAAACCACGAATGATTGATCGCAGACATGGAAAAGAAATGATGAAAGCAACATAATTCAGTGTCTGGTGGTACGAATAATTGTATAATTCAGTGTTTGGTGATACGAAATTTTACAAAATTCTAGGGAATATCTGACTGTTTCTGGAAGTGCTAAAAGCATTTTATGGCAACCAAAAATACTTACATTATTTGGCAAAAAACATAAAAATTGTTTTGTAGTAAAAATGTGCTTTTCTAGGAAGCTCTTGGATGTCTACTAAAATACCTTTCGGCAAAAATGCTTATGAGCATAAGTGCTTCTTGTAGAAACAGTCATGCTGAAACTTCTGATTATTTCGTCTCTCTTCTACTATGTTTTTAAAAATATATACACCAGAAAACTTCGACACTGATTTTACCTCTCAGTAACAACTTCAGCTAGCTCATGTTGCTTATAATTAAGTTTATAGCAATATACTACTGGAGTTATGAAGAATCGTACCATATGAAAAGTATTGTAAAGTTTTCACTTATATTAAATTTTCTAGGAAACTGATCAATAGCCATTAGTATTCTACTTAATTTTTTTTAAACCAAGATAGAAGAATAAAACAAATAGGCACAATAATAATTGTATAAACTATGTACTTGCGATATATTACACAAAATGCATAACAGAAGCAAATACTACTACATGTATTATTGTGATTCGCAAACCAAATACAACTCGTTAATTTGAATAAATTAACTTACATAGTATATAGTATACTAAGTAATGCAGGCGTGCATATAGTTCTTTTTTTCTTTCTTTTCTATTTAGGCCTTTCCAGCTGGGTTTACTGTTAAGGTTGGCAATCATATTCTGAGACAATGTTCTTGTGGATTCTGTCTATGAAAGCAGCAGCTTTGTTGTCAATCCCGGGCTCAGCCACCGACCGACCTCTGTCCTCCTCGCTCGGCCAAACCCTCCTTGCACTCATGTAGGAATCCTCCATTATGTCGTCCCCGCTGCGATTGCGTGGCCTCCTCGATTTGAACATACTGAAGAATGAGAAGGCGGATTTCTTCTGCCTGTTGCCTGCCATAACTCTTTTTCGACACGAAAAAAGAACAAAATACAAAGGCTTAAGTGAGATGAAGATAGTTCAAATAAGAATTTGTACTCTCTTTGGTTTGTAGCGACTATTAGGAAGTTGTTGTGTATTTATAGTTGTAGGTGATCCTAGTGCATGGAGAATCTTGGAGGATTCAAACTCTAGCTAAGTAATATTGGATGGTGGAGATCATAAATAAGACCAGAGAAAGAAAGGAAAAAGAAAAAAGGAAAAAAGCATATTTT